CCCCCCTCACACGTCCTCCCCCGGTCCCTCCACTACCAAACCACTTTACCAGTGTGAGTGAATGTGTCAACACGTGCAAGGATTTAAAAGTAAAAAAAAGCAGTCTAGAATTTTATGGAGGAAAGGTGGAAAAAAATGTGGAAAGCGTCGAGCAAAATGCGATCGTGAGGATTGATTAAAGAGAATAACCGGGAAAACGTACACACACACACATTCGTCGGACTGTGTAGGGACATTTTGCATCAATTGTGTAAGACACGAGACAGAGGGAGAAAGTGTGCGTGTGTGTGAGAGAAAAGGGGAGATTAAAAGTAAAAAAAAAAGATAAATAAAAGGAAGCGAAGTCGAGTGAGAATGCGCGTGTGGAAGATGCGAGAGCGAGAGGTAGAAGAGATCCTAAAGAGAGTGAGCGAGAAGATAAAAAAAAACGGCGGAAGCTAAAAAACAAAATGTACGAACGAACATTGATACTGTCTTCGTTTTTTAAAGTCGTTTCTCCGTTCGACACGCTACTATATAAAAATATTGACATTTGTCATTGAATTATTACCGACGACGATGAAGTATCATTATTATGATTATTATTATTATTACGAAACTATTATTATTACGATGATAAATGATTATTATTATTATTACTACCATTTATTATTGTCATTATTATCACAATTTATTATTGCGATGATGATCATGATTATTATTATTATTAATATTATTATTATTATTATTACGTGGTACAATAAAAATTTAATAAGCATTCCACGTCTCGTGACTACTGGCCAGTTCCCTATGATCACCGCACGATTATCGACGATAATTTCCTTATCGCACGCGCTGTTAACAACCGTATGACCTCTCTTACGCACATAGATGATAAACTGCATATCCGCACCAGAAGAAAACAGAAATTTATCTCAAAGTGTAGCGATATCGAGTCTATATTCAACATCCAGGGACGGTTTCTTTATCGTGCTATCTTTTCTACGCAAGAAATCTCTCATACAACGAACGAGAGCAGTGAACTCATTTTTGTTTCATTTGTAACACGTTCAATATTGTACTTAAATGAAAATTCATTTATCTTATAACATAAAAAAGATAATATAACGGCTAATTTGGTCTTCAAGAGCGATCTGCATGTGTATCACATATAGAAAATATCATTTTACTGCTGAGAAAAGCGATTACTCAATTTACTTTCGATGTTTTAAGTTGATGATTATCTTCAATAAAGAATATTTTCCTGATGATGATTTTAAAATATGATCATCACAAATTTGGAAAAAATGTTAGAAAAGCTCATTATCACGTATTCGGGAAAAGAATTTATGCTCTTTTCAAGAATAATATAAAACTTTATCGCACGTGCGACAAAGCCAGATTCGGTTAATTTAAATACAGTCCAACTTTTTGTTTAATTTAATATTTTTGATTGAAATATTAAATTTACTAGGATTTAGGATATATTTTGGGTAAACTTGATGTTTATGATAAACTTGTGATATATTGTGATATATACATATAAATTTATGAAATACTTAAAACAAGTAACATTTACTTGTATGTAGTACGTATTTTTTTTTATATGTAGCATCAATAAACGCGAAAAACGCTATTTTTATTCACAAATTCATTTCTTTGTTATTGGTCACTGTAGGTTGAAATCGTGGAAAAATCGCAAGTTTTTGTGTTTTTTGTAGTCTAAATTTATACATCTCGAGTATATCAATTAAATATATCAATATATCAATATATCAATTGTCGTATTAAATATTCAGGAACTCGGAGTCAACCATATCCCGCTGCCCAGAGATTTAAAACGGAAGATAATCTTTCAAACTAGATTAATATCAGCAAACGAATGCATGTTTAGATATAAAATGAATTAGCCCTTAGCAGTCGTAATTCGAGTTACTTCGATGGCCATTTCGACAATAAACAGTTCAGGCGATAATTGTAAGGAATCTGTAAACTCACCCTCAAGTCGATTCAGCTCGGCCCGAATCGTATCCTCCCGTACAACATCTGCATCCTCGGGAATCACGTTGCCTTCACGATGCTGTCGCAAGCTCCATCAGATCGGAACACTGTGCACATGTAAACGATAAATGTAACGTAAACGTAACCGGTAAACAAATTCGTTTCACACACGGACTTGAATTAATTTAAGAAAATCGGAAATCACGACGCGACGTCGTCGCACGTGTTAATTTGCCTGCGTAAAAGATTATTGTGATTATCAGTCGCTCTCGTAGAAGCAGGCGACGCGCGCCAGTGTTCACGACTTTTAACATAACAATACACATAGAACTTTCGGGTGTTATAATTGTATTTATATACGGTGATATGCATATACGATGAGAGAAAATTCTCGTGCAATATTTCAACATTAGGAATACAATAACAGGGACATTTCAACGGGATCACGTTGACATTTTTTATTCAGTTTGACAGAAAGGCAAATGTTATTTTCCGATTGGATGTTAGAAACAATAATTATTTTAAAGCGGGATAATAGTACGGGTCGGTTACCCGATTCATGAAATATTCGAAATCGATTTCCTCGTCGCTACATCCGCGCCTGAAGAAAGATAAACGCTCGCGCCGGGTCATCGACGGCCTGAACGAAGACGCTCGCCGTCGACTCACTTCGGATTAGTTAAGGATAGAACACCAAGAAGAGAGCATCATGCTTCGTTTCAGCGTCTGCGGCAGATTCGTTATTTACGGCAACCTCGAAAAATGTCTGGACGCGTCGGGAGGTGTACGTGACATCTGCGGTATCGCCGTGGGGTCGACGGTCAGGCAGAAACATAGTTCAACGTCGCGTTCGAGGTGTTTGATCGATTCCGCGGCACTTAGTTCGGCCGCCGACGCGATCCAGACACAAAGTCGCCGGCTGTCGTCAACGTTGAGCGTCACCGAGACCCGGAAAACTTGTTTGTACGATCTTCATGTGGAAAAGCAAGGTGAGTAATTGTTCACATCTGGTTAAACACAGCGTCGATTAAACAAGTCGACGTCGATTCGATGTTCATTCCTCGCTGGGAATTTCTCGCGTTAGATTAGCCGGCGAAGCGTATGTTATATTATATCTTTCATCCATCGAAAAAGTATGGAGGAATGTTCTCGAGTAAATACAATTCTGTGAATAGCATGAAATATTGAATTATTCCCAGGATTCTCGCGTACCGTCGATGTATACGTTGCCTTGTCAGTGCCGATGTCTCGTCTGTGTTGACTTTTTATAAACAAACACTACGTCACCGTCTATTTTTGAAAGCTTTAGTGCTGTCGATATCCCATGAGACAAGCTAACACAACGCGTGACTTCTCTCCTGTCAACATCGTGAGTTACATAAAAGTCTAACTGGAGACAACGCGGGGAAGATCTCTTCGCGGCGAGGCGATGTTACAATCTCACTATGCCGAAGTTTCTCAACTTGTACGAGACATACATTTTAATAAAAAAAATTTGTATAAGAGACAAGAGTGAAGAAAGGAGGATATGACCATCTGATTTTATCTGACTTCGCGAACGTTCAGGAAAAATCGTCAACTTCGCTGGATGGATGTTGCCGGTGCAATATCGAGACGCGATCGCCGCGTCCCACCAACACACCAGGTCGTTCGCGTCGCTTTTCGATGTCGGACACATGATGCAGACGCGCGTCGCCGGCAAAGACGCCGGAGAATACCTGGAATCGTTAACCACGTGCGACCTGAAGAGCATGAAGAACGGCGCCGCGACTCTGACGGTTTTCACTAACGACAAAGGCGGGATCCTCGACGATCTGATCATCACCAAAGACGACGAAGGCAAGTACTTCGTCGTGTCGAACGCGGGGAGGCGGGACGAGGATAGTCAGCTTCTTCGAGAGCGTCAAGTGAGAGAGTGCATATTCGAAATGTCTCAACAACGCGACGAACGCAATGAACGATATCCTGCTTCCAGGAGGATTTCAAGAGAATCGGCAAAAACGTGTTCGTCGACTTTCTGGATCCTCTGCGGCAAGGTCTGGTAGCTCTTCAAGGTCCCACAGCGGCTGCCGCTCTGCAAACCTTGGTAAAAATCGATCTTCAGACTCTGAAGTTCATGAACAGCGTGAGAACCGAGGCAGCGGGCAGCCGGGTTAGGATCTCACGGTGCGGGTATACCGGCGAAGACGGCTTCGAGATCTCGGTACCTGCGAAGGACGCTGTGGATCTAGTCGAGAGAATCCTGGAAATTCCCGATGTGAAACTAGCCGGTTTAGGAGCGAGGGACAGTCTAAGGTAAATGAATAAATACATTTCGCAGCGGGATTCTGCTGATGATCCGATCAATCTTTTCAGACTCGAGGCTGGACTCTGTTTGTACGGTAACGACATCGACGCGGACACCACGCCAGTCGAGGCTGCCCTCACATGGTTAATAGGTTAGTGACCCTATCATTAGAGATCTTTGTGAAATCTCTCGGAATGCAATAAGCATCGCTTATCGCATAACCATATTAAAACAGAGAGACGTCTCGTGGCTCATGCTTTTGCTTCTTCGTGTTCCTTCATGCGGGACAATTTATTTCGATATATTCTCTTTGCCGAATAATTGTATTAACTTACGAAACATCTCCACCGTCGGTCTTCCGCAGCAAAAGGGCGAAGGGTCGAGGCCAACTTCCCAGGTGCGGAGCGGATATTGTCGCAGATCAAAATGGGCGCCACGGTAAAACGAGTCGGGCTATTACTGGGTCAAGGACCACCTGCCAGGCAAGGAGCATCTATATTAACGCCGGAAGGTGAACGTGTGGGCAAAGTGACTTCCGGCGGACCAAGTCCGACCTTGGGTCGGTCAATTGCCATGGGATACATACCGTCAGATTTGGCGCAATTTGGAGGCGGCGTGCTGGTCGAGGTCCGAGGGAAAACCTATAAGGCCACCGTGACCAGGATGCCCTTTGTGAAGACGAATTATTACACTGGCAAATGACACTCGTGCCGATCTCACGCAATGAAAACTGGTTTACTTCCAACGAAATTGTAGGATACATGGAGAGGTTTATTTGTTAACGATGAACTGCGAAGAAAATCGAAAATTTTCATCAATTTATTATTCAGCCTCGTTCAATTGTTAGTCTTGTTCGAATGTTAGTCTTTTTTTTTATAAATATTTAATGCACAATAAATTATTACCCAGTAAACATCGTTGTTATCATTTCCCGCCCAATAATGTAAGTATAATGTAGCATGTATTGAACGTTAAGGTTACAATGTTGAGCGGGTAATTCACGTAACGTTCTTGTAGATATAACTTTACTGTTGCTTGATGTTTATTTAGGTTTACTTAACGATACTTCGTGACACTTACTGAGTTGAGAGAGAATGAGAAGAAAGAGAGCTGTCGTTGAGTCTTACTAATCGACGACAAAAAGATCTCGAGTAGCTTGAGTAACAGACTAACTTGAGTAACTAAATTTGAAAATGTAGGTCTAGAGCTGATTGGTCCCTGAGTCGCACGACCTACACCTCCTCCGATTGGTCGGTAGCACAGTGGCGATTCGCAGCGAAGACTTTGTAGACCCTCTAATAACCGACCTGCTAGACCTGTTAAAAGCGACTAACGGGTTGTTTGGCGCCATCTTGCGGTGTCTCAGGGTAAAAATGGTTTTAAAGATTTTTTTATTAAAAAAATACAAAAAATACATATGTAAAGTAGCTTTCGAGCGAGTTTGTACAGTTACACAGTGCAGAATGCTATTTAAAATCACACAAATACAGAGGCGAATTCCTTATCTTAATTTAAATATCGGTCGATTCAATCACTAAAGCGGTGATGCATATCAGAGAGAATGGGAAAAAAGTTCGGGGTAGGGGGCGCTTCGTTCCGTGTAAGCCAAAAAACAAGAAGACAAGAAGCTGAGGCGGTAGTCCACGGTGTGAATAATTGTGCTTGTGTGCTTTATTAGTGTACTAAGTATTTAATTATTAATAATATCATATCAAATTATGGTTCGTAGCAGCGACAAGTAAGTGAAATTCACCACATTTTATATTTGAGGTTAGGTTATCAGGCACACTTTGTAGATACTCCGAATCCACGTTCTATTGAATTGTCATGAATAATTATTCGCATAGGGACAGGCATCATCGACGAAGATCCAGATCGCGATCGAGATCTCGATCGGCCGAGCCTGATAAGAAACGACGGCGATCCAGGAGCAGAGATCGTGAGAGAGACAGAGACAAAGGTCGACATAGAGAACGCAGGAGTCGTTCGCGAGACAGAGACAGAGATAGGAGGGATCGGTCCGAACGGGACAGGGATCGCGAGAGAAAACGGTAACATTCTTGAAAGAAGTTTTAACATCTTATTCTGAGACAATTGCTCGTGTAGTTCATATCCCTCATATTTTTATCTTCTTTAGTCGCAAATATTACATGTATTTTCTATTCCTGAACTAGCTTCGCTAGTTCAAGAAGGCTGCGTCTCGATATTCATTACCAGTATTGAAAATCTATAATATATATATAACATGAACTATAGATTTTTAATACTGGCAGTGAATATCAGAACATAGTTCTTTTGAATTAGCACTAGCCAGTCCAGAAATAAAAAACGAACCTATTGAAAATGTTGTTGCTGATGATCACAATGATGAAATAATATATTGATATTGATTGTTCTCGGTGTACTAGTGGAGACAGTAAAGAAAAGCGTCTTACAGGCTCAAAGTCTTCGCGCTCTGGCAAAGAACGATCTAACAGGTCTCGGTCACGCGACAGAAAGGATAAAGAGAAGGGTGACAATGAAGAATTACCTTTTGATCATACAAAATTGGATAAGGTAAGTTTGCAGTGAGTAGCAGTTATGAAGGAACAAGTGGAACTCATTACAATTATCTTTGCAGGAAGAAGAGCAAAAAAGGCTCGAGTTGGAAATGCAAAAGAGGAGGGAGAGAATAGAAAGATGGCGAGCAGAGCGGAAGAAGAAAGAGCTGGAAGCTACTAAGAAAGACGGTAAGGCATCTATTTTGGCAAATCTTCAGCTACCCATGAAAAAGTGGTCTCTTGAGGATGATAGTGATGAGGAGACTCCTGTGGTACAGAATAACACAAAAGAGGCAAAGGAAGAAGGTGTAAAAGAGGAGATTGAGGAAGTAAAGGAAGAAGTGAAAGATGAAGAGGAAGAAGTTGATCCGCTGGATGCTTTCATGGCAGAGGCAAGTAATCCTGTGATTAATACTTAGATAAGTCCTCTTCGTACTTACATTACATGTAATTGATTCGACAGGTGCAAGAAGAAGTGAGGAAAGTGAACAAACTCGATAACAAAGCTCCGAAAAACGCCAACAATGGCACGAGCTCTGGAACGCAGAGTGGTGGTGTCGTTATAGTGACTGGTGTAGCCAAAAAGAAGGTTCAGAAACAGAAGGGAGAATTAATCGAGCAAAATCAAGATGGCTTGGAGTATTCTAGTGAAGAAGAGGGCGAAAATCTTCACGAGACTGCAGCCGGTATCGCAAACAAACAGAAGCGAGAGTTAGCCAAAGTCGATCACGCAACGACGGATTACCAACCGTTCCGAAAGTCCTTTTATGTTGAAGTTCCTGAGATTGGTAAGTTTTGTATATTTCCTTGTGTAATAAGTTATCTTTTTCACCGCATAAATGAGTTTATTTATATACAATCTTACGTATCTTTCCAGCGAGAATGACACCAGAGGAAGTAGAGGCATACAAAGAGGATCTGGAAGGCATTCGCGTGAAAGGTAAAGGTTGCCCGAAGCCTATCAAATCGTGGGCGCAATGCGGCGTAACTAAGAAAGAACTGGAGGTGCTGAAGAAACTCGGTTACGAGAAACCAACGCCCATTCAATGCCAAGCAATCCCGGCGATTATGTCCGGCCGCGATCTCATCGGTATAGCGAAAACAGGCAGCGGGAAAACGTTAGCTTTCTTGTTACCAATGTTCCGTCATATACTGGACCAACAGCCATTGGCTGACGGCGACGGGCCGATCGCATTAATCATGACGCCTACCAGGGAGTTGTGCATGCAAATCGGCAGGGATTCGAAGAAGTTCACCAAGTCGTTGGGCCTGTCGCACGTGTGCGTTTACGGTGGGACCGGTATCTCCGAGCAAATAGCGGAGCTCAAGAGAGGCGCGGAGATCATCGTGTGCACGCCGGGTAGGATGATCGACATGCTTGCCGCCAACAGTGGCCGTGTGACGAATCTACGACGAGTGACGTACGTGGTGCTCGACGAGGCCGACAGGATGTTCGACATGGGTTTCGAGCCTCAGGTAATGCGAATCATGGAGAACGTAAGGCCGGATCGGCAGACGGTGCTGTTCAGCGCGACGTTCCCGCGGCAAATGGAGGCGCTGGCCAGACGAATACTTACCAGACCAGTGGAGGTGCAAGTCGGAGGACGTTCCGTCGTCTGCAAGGACGTCGAGCAGCACGTGGTCGTTCTCGAGGAGGACCAAAAGTTCTACAAATTGCTAGAAATCCTCGGCCATTATCAAGACAAAGGCTCGGCCATTATATTCGTGGACAAGCAGGAGAACGCGGACACTTTGTTAAAAGATCTTATGAAGGCTTCATATTCCTGTATGTCTCTACACGGTGGCATCGACCAATGTGACAGGGACTCCACTATATTGGACTTCAAAGCCGGACGGACGAAGTTGTTGGTGGCCACATCTGTCGCCGCTAGAGGTCTAGATGTTAAGCACTTGGTACTGGTGGTAAATTACGATTGCCCTAATCATTACGAGGATTACGTGCACAGGTGCGGGCGGACCGGTAGAGCCGGGAATAAAGGGTAAGATCGTCCTTTGTGTCTCGATAATACGGAAACATCTGTCATCGTCGCTGTTAATTCTAATGTAAAGGCGATTTTCTTCTCTTTCTTTCAGATACGCGTACACCTTTATCACGTCAGAGCAGGAACGCTATGCCGGTGATATCCTACGTGCGCACGAATTAGCGGGCGTACCCGTTCCAGAACCGTTGCGGCAGCTGTGGGAGGGTTACAAGGCGCGACAGGCCGCGGACGGGAAAAAGGTGCACACCGGCGGCGGTTTCAGCGGCAAAGGCTTCAAATTCGACGAGTCGGAGGCCGCGTTGGCGAATGAGAAGAAGAAGTTCCAGAAAGCGGCCCTGGGGCTGCAGGACTCCGACGACGAGGACATAGAGAACGATATCGATCAACAGATCGAGAGTATGCTGGCGCCTAAGCGCACGGTTCGCGAAATAGCCCGACCATCTGCGACCAGTATTACAGTGCCGGGTCAGCCGATACCCAGTGCCACCGACAAACTCGAATTAGCCAGAAGATTGGCGTCCAAGATCAACATCGCGAAAAATCTCGGCGCCGAGGCGAAGGGCGCCACTCAGCAAGCGGCGGAGGCAATACTTAAGGGTGCAGGACCTACGAATCTGATTACGGTAAGTAATCGATCCTGAGAAAGAGGGAAAATCTTTTATCTTATAACCATTCAACAATTACAAATAATCAACTTACACCCTTGTAATTTTTTACACAAGTCCTTGCTGGTAACAAATGATAATTATCTCTCCGCAGGCGAAGACGGTCGCGGAACAATTGGCGGCCAAGTTGAACACCAAGCTGAATTATCAGCCGCGCGAGGAGGACCTCGTGGAGAGCGATGCGGAAACGGGCGAGCAAACATTCCGTAAGTATGAGGAGGAGCTCGAGATCAACGATTTCCCGCAACAAGCGAGATGGCGAGTCACGAGCAAGGAGGCATTGGCTCAAATCTCGGAGTACTCCGAAGCGGGCCTGACAGTCAGGGGAACGTACATCGCACCTGGGAAAGCGCCACCGGAGGGCGAGAGGAAACTATACCTGGCTATAGAGTCGACGAGCGAACTGGCGGTCAGTAAAGCCAAGGCGGAGGTTTCACGATTAATCAAGGAGGAGCTCATCAAGCTGCAGGCGTCCGGCGCTCACACTGCGTCGCGTGGTCGATACAAAGTCTTATAAAGTGCTTTTATAAGGTTTGCATCTTACAAAGATCATCTCTTGAGATTTCTTTCTCTCTCTCTCTCTCTCTCTCTCTCTCTCTCTCTTTCTATTTAATCATCCATGAAGTATCCATACGCGAGGACAGTGAAGTCGCTCGAACTCATGTATGATAAAAAAAAACGTTGGAAAAATTTATTATACATACAACTGAGACGGTACCAAGAGTTTGTATTAAACAGCACAATAACAAGGTATACTTAACACCTATAGGAGCATTATCTGTATCATTGGCACGAACCACTGCAGGCGATCCAAATTTTCGCAGGTTTATAAATAATAAAAGTGCGAGGACCGTCGTTCCTTTAATCCTTACCTTAACAAGCACCCCGACGAGTATCCTACCACGAGTTAACTTACTTATTCGCGGCGTTGTATAAAAATTCGGAACGCTCGGCAGTGTAAAGCCGTACCTACACAGCGTGTCCTGGAGAAACTGTATCGCTTGCGAGTTGCTCTCGCTTTATTTATTTATTTAAAAAATTTTTTTTTAGAATTTCGTATCGATTTCTGATTGTCGCGTAGCTAAAATTACCAGCCGGACTCTTGGAAAATTTAAGACTCGCCTCGCTTTGAGCTCTCTCGGTTTTTCAGAAGGACGCGCTGTGTAAAAGTCACATCTGCGGCACACGATATACTGATATGTCACGATATCTGCGAACTGGTAACTTAAGTTTACGATCTCTTATTTATTTACAACTTACAATGAGCATGTGTTCTCGATGTACCCGTGACGGACAGTGCACGCGGTGAATCCTAAATCTTTGTACATCTCTCTCTCTCTCTCTCTTTCTCTCTCGCGTTATATATTCTCTCGTCTCTCTTTGGCAATATCAATCAGCGATTAAAAATATAATATATCTTGTACTGCTGTATATTACGGAGGCACTAGAAGAATCACAGACACGAGACACGCTGTAGACCACTCGCCGTCGCGAATGGCATCGCGATTAGGTAAAGAGACGCCTTCAACGTCGAGGAAGAACGGGAAGAAGTGAGATGCGTCGCTTACGACTTGCGAATTCTCGGCTCCGGAAAAATGCTACGGTGATAAACCTGTGTGCGATAAATTGGAAAAAGACGCGTTAGATAAAAGTACCAATGCCTGAACACGCACCCCTGACTCCACGATATTCTTATTGCTTTGGTCTTTAAATACGAATATTTAAACATAAATATATACATATATTGAATATGCACATTCTGTTATATCCTATGTTATATCCTATGTTGAAAGTTTAGATATTCGTATTTAAAGACCAAAGTAATAAGAGCGTCCAAAATTAAGTACGCGTCGCACGGCATTGACATTTGTACCTTACGCTCTACTTTCGAGACAACGTTGATACGATATACGGTATAAGCGACGCATCTCCCATTCTCTTTGTAATTGCGCTTACGACAGAACGTTCAGCACGACGATGGCGCTCGTGATGGTCGCGAGCCAAGCCTGAATTGTCATGGCGCTCGAAACGTAACTGTGAGCCACTTCGGCGCGCGTCAGCGAGCCCAGCGGAACCTCCGCTGCGATCGTGGAACTCCTCTCCGAGATCCTGGTGACCAGCTTCTCCGCCTCCGTCACGCAGGCTCGCAGCTGCAACGCCGACGGCTTTTTGGTGATCGGCTGCACGATGATGAAGACGTCGAGGTCGGGCGTCAGCATACCGCGAACAGCGCACTGCGCCACGTGCACCCGACGGCTCAGAGCGGCCAGAAGGACTTCCAGAGTGACGAAGTCCTTGTCGACTTCTTCGCCCATCGTGTAGTAGATCCGATCCAACTGCGATTCCAGAAAAGAAACAATTATCCAAAAGCAATGTAATTCTGAGTAATCCATCATTACGAGAATAATGTAATTATTTAGGAATTATTTGTGTAATTTTTTCTTTCAAATAACGCGTACGCTAGAGAACGTGTAAAGAACAACGAGCCACGAAGAGATATCGAAGGAACGTCTCCATTTCTCAGGCGTTCTTTCAGCGAATAGTTTCACAAGGAACGTGAGTCCTTAGTCCTCCGGAAACAATTTCCGAACAAATTATCAGGACGCGACAATCCACAACGGAAATCCACTTTCACCGTAACTAGAAGCATGGAGTTTTTTCTTAAGCGACTCTCGATGCCGGAGAGATATTTCTCGGATCCCCGTGAAGGCACCCACCTGCTTCTTGGAGTAGACCAACCGCGCGGCGCCTCCGCAGACTGGACAGCAAGCACCCGGAGGAGTGACCCCGATGCAGTACGGCTCCGCCAACGGGGGACACTGGACAGCCTCGCCGCAGCGAGGCTCCACCGAGTCACCGATGAGACCGACGGCGACGCAGGGGCCCTGATAGTCCACGACGGTTTTCTCGGCCCACGCGGCACACTCGTTCGCGTAAACCTCGCCGTTTACGCCGCACACCGGGCCCCGGAGACTGCAGTCTTTCAGGCAGGGTCCTCTGTAGCTGAGACTCGCTCCAGCTCGGATCATCGCGCAGACGGAAACGTGCTGGCGGCTCAGCCGGTCGCAGACGGGCCCGCTGGACTCGTCGCGCGGGTTGCAATCTATCGGCACGCACTCGTACTGCCGGCAGGGTTTGTGCAGACGCGACAGGCAGACCCGAGGTCTGCGCACGCACTGCTCCGCGCTGCCGCAGGGATTGGAGGCACAGGGGTCCCTGCTGGAGCAGCTGCCGAACTCCAGCTCCGTCGCCGACAGCTCGACGCACTTGGCCAAGCAGGCGGACGCGAAGGTCCAACCCAGTCTGCTGCATACGGGGACATAGTGAGCCGAGCAGTCGCAGGGTAGAGACGGCGCACGCGGCTCGCCGCAGCTCCTCTTGGAGCACGTGAACTCGCCCTCGTAGCATTGGCAAGGGTTGCACTCGAGGTAGAAGTTGGCCTTGTGCGCGATGAACCGGTCGTGCACCCAGCAGGACTTGAAGTTCAAGCAGTTGAGGACGCGGCACTTCTCCAGGCCGCGCGTCGTGCACTGGCAGATGTTGAGGCAGCCGTGCTGGTCGAACCGCGGGATCTGAATCCAAGAGCCGACCGGCACCAGCTGCTTCGACATCTCCCCCAGCGAGCAAGCCGGCAGGCAGCGGTGGACCTCATCGCCGTTCGGCTGGAGCACGCAGAGCTGGCCCTGCGGGCACGGGTTCGGCTTGCAGGGTGTCGCGATGTCCTCCTCGGGCAGGATCACGGCCTCGTCGTCGTCGAACTCCTGTGAACTCTTGAGAAAGGGCCCCAACGAGACGCACGGTGCGTCTGGTCTACCGGGCGACAGTTTGCCGCACAGAGTAGCCGCGTTGTGGCTGCCGTCGATCAGGCTCCAGTCCACGCAGCTGGCCATCAACTCGAGGCAGTCCTCGCGACAAAGCCGCGTCTCGTGCAGCCTGTTCTCGCAGGGTCGCAGCTGTAGAAAACAGGCGGCGGCGCGGAGGGTCTCCGTCGGGCAAGAGGCGGCGGCGTGCACCGGCACGCTGAATCCGCGAATGGCTTCACCCCGGGACCAATGGTCGACCTCCCATTTGGCGGCCTCGTCAGCCGCGGCCGTGCACGTTCTGCCGAGAAAATCGTATCTTATTATCGGTGTCGCGACGAACGGAAAGCTGCTCTGAATCGATTTCGACCGAGCGAATGAATCGCGCTTTGATTGCGCTTCTCGTTCGGATTGGCGGCAACCGGCTGTCGTCGGGTCGTACCTGAAGAGCGTGGTGGGCCTGTCGTTGAATTGTGCGCAATACGACAAGCCGGAACAGCCCATCTCACAGGGATCGTCCGCGTCCTCGAGACACCTCCTGAGTTCGCCTTCCATGCTGGACGAGAGGCACGTTGCGTCCAACTGCGGCCAGGCGGTCTCCCAGTCGGCCTGGAAGGTCCGCCAGCATAAATTCTGGCAATTGGAGCTGGTCGCTTTCGCGCAGCACGCCAGTTTGCCGGCGTCTAACGGTAAACGCGTGGGCTTCGATGAGTCGGACTTCAACAGGCAGCTCCATATGGGCAACTGCGGGAACACGGGGCTGCAGCTCTCCGTCAGCGCGTCCATGATCTCATGGTCGGTGGTCGCGGTGTGCAGGATCTTTCGACACGTTTCCAGGCACGCCGGCGACTTCGCCTCCTCGCAACAGTGCAGATCTGCGCAAAGCGGAACGTGTACTTGACCACGTACGCCTATCGATCGCTCGTTGATGTATCATTTATTATTATGTGTAATAGGACCGAAATTAAGAAATGTTATTATTTTTATTGTTATATTTATTTGACGGAAAGACGTCTCTTTTAGTTATGAGGAAAAATTGTTTTCATTAAAAATGATGAAAATAAGGAAGAAAAAGTTTAGAAAAAAAAAAGAAAAAGCAATGTAAAGAAAAGACAACAAAAGAAAAAAAAAGCAATACAGAAAAAACCAAAGAAGAAAAAAAAAATACAAAAAAGAAGAAGGAAAGAAAAAATATAGAAAAGAAAAAGAGGAAAAAGTAATAGATTTCCGTAGATTTTTTCATAGATTTTTGTTAAATGCTGAAGTGAATTATTATTATTACTACTATAAATGAAACTAACGTTGCTTCGGATCTTCGGCGTGTTTCACTTCGGCCAGGCTCTTCAGGCACTTCGGAACCTGATGGAAACAGCCCATGCTGTTGTACAGCTTCAAACTGGACTGCTTGCCGGTCTTATAGAAGAGGTCCTTGCAGATGGACCTGCATGTGTCGTTGGAGACATTGCTGCAACATCGTTCGCCTTCCTCGCGTTTCTCCAGACAGGAGAAGAATTCGGGTTCATCGCTCGGCCGGCAGTACTCGGCGAGATCATTCCTAGAGCCCGACACGGCACAGGTCATGCGACACGTGGGATTCTGCGCGAGATGGCAACATCCACGACCCAGCCAATTCTCGTTCCTCTTCAGGTCTGTAAGAATACAAATGGTCTCTGTATTCATCGGTAACACCGTCGCGCTCGGAATACGACGACGACGACGACGGACGGCTTACCATTCAACGTCGAGTTCACACAGCTCCAGAAGTCCACCTGAAAGAAGATTCGAGCGTGGGTGAAGATGGTCGCACGAAGAAAAAAGAAGAAAAGGGAGAAAAAGAAGAGGACGAAGGAAACGAGGTGCCGCGGCCGACCGATCGCACAGCCCCGAGATCATTTTTCACGAAGCTACCAGCGCGTTGTCGAAAAAAACGCGGATCACATTGCAGACAACTGAATCGTTTAAAGGCGCTTATTGTGTCGGCAGGCCTCCAATTCAAGACCCGAGCTGAATGAACGAAACGAACGGGTGTCGATCGCGCGGCACTGAAGATCCTTGCGACGACTCACCAGTCTCGTCGGGCAGAACTCCAGCAGACGTTGGGTGGCGTTCTCCCGCGCCTCGGTGTCCGCACCCAGCACCACCAGAGATGTCTGAAAGCGCGATTTAAAATTACCTTCTGAGAAAAGCAAGATCCGAAATCGTGACGTGACTGGAAAAAGAAAGAGAGAGAGAGAGCCGCGAGTAGAAGTCATTTCTCGGCGGGTCTTATCCGACGGAGATCTCTGAGCTTACAATGCAGTCAGGTGAGCGTAGAAGTGATTTCAGCACGGATTCCGCGGGGCGTCAACCGCGCCAACGATATTCACCTCGCCGGAGTTCTCTCGAAATTCGAAATGCAGAGCGGCGCATTAGCGGTCATTAAGAATCAAGGACACGAATGCAGCACGGTCCCCGCGATTTCCTGTTGCCCGTCACTGAATGACAATCATTCCCCCGACCAGATATCGGCCGTACGCTCGCGCGTCTCGTCCTCATTCCGGATTCAATCGGTGTCCTCGGTGAGAACACGCCGGATCCATCCTGTATGTCCATCACGGCCACGAGTTACGGGCCATCCATCAACATGCGTTGGGTCTTGACGGGCCCTGGCGATAGGCCCAGTCAAAGGTCGGATTCGACAACGGACATAAATTACCGGTCGGCCCGTTCGTGTTTCTCGGATGGACGGTGAGTTTTGAATTTAATTTATAGCTATGATCGCACGAGAAATGATAAACACGCGATATCGTTGCAACTATGTTGCAGTTTCATCGAAATGACAATAGCACGCGGCTGTTTATAAGCGAGTTGAGGAGGATGCGTAATTATTTGTTTATTTATTATGTGGAAATTGCCTCGACTTGTGTATACAGAGCATCTGACGCAAGTGTTACACGGTTGTCACATACTTGTAGTTTAAATCAATACGAATAATAAAGTTCTCTGCACGGTAAGCAATTTTTTGTTAAATTTAACGTATTTCAGATGTTCTAAACGGTCCATTTGAATTTTTGCGCTAATTTAACACAAGGTGAATATGTTGAAAAATAACACAATTATAACAATAAGAGAAACACGAATATTATGTCAAAAATTGATACAAAATACGTTAATCGACATTGAAGTATAGAATGTGTTACTTTATTTAATTATTAATTATTAAAAATGGCTAGGCGTAGAAGTTTCTTTAAGTAGTAACCCAAAAATTTGCGTGTTATTTACAAATGGCACAGGATTTTTTGTTCATAGTGGCTTAATCTATAAGTATATGATAGTCTAGCGACAGATGTCAGTACATTGAACCTCGAACCTTGAACCTGTTTTTTGTTCACATTGACCCAAATTACAAATATATATGACGGATGGCACAGCTTGCGTCAGACACTCTGTATATTATTATCTCGTGCGGTATTTCTCGCGGTATGTATTCGTTAATTTGTTTCGTCGTGTAGAGGATCGGTTACATACCACGGAAATGGTTATATATACGCGTGCAATTAATTCAGCAATCTCAATCGACAGCCTCGGAATATTTTCCGCCAGATTAGACTGTTATAAATGTTAGATACGAAAGTGACGAGGGAGCTGAGAAAACGACGTACGTATTTCCGTCGTGGTATATTCTGGGAGGTATGCGCAGCCGGGCCTCGTCGCCACGTATCGAAGGGGGTGCGTTTTCCACTCGCGAAATTTCTCGCGGCGGTTTTATCAACGTCGACGACGATAATTCCGCGCTATGAGACGTGTTTCTATTTAAGCCCGCACAGCGGCGTCCGTGGTTTTTTCTCTCTGTCTCTCTTTTTTTTTTTTTTCAATAACGAAGTTTGACGGGCAAAGCGACAGAACGGAAAAGAGGAATATCACGGCGTTCCTCTATTTTTAATTTTATTGTAATTGGCATATGCGCAATGTAATCGTTTGCAAAAATTCGAAATAAACGCTGCTTCAAAGCTCATACGTTTCCAGCCGGATAAATCAAGCTCGACGGCCTCCGTGCCGGAGCCGAGATCAAAAGATACCGAAATAGAGCCGCGAGCTTTCATAATTTGAGCACCGTGCTCCCATTTACCGAACTCCACGATGCCACAAACGACCCCGGTGTCGGTCGACTAATTAAATCGACAGGCAGCCCCAGTGGCACTATGTGACCGATGAAACGAGTCGTTCTGGGCATTCCGCTTTTGCAGAAACCGCGTGTAACAGTGCCGTTGCGTTGGTCATCGGCGAAAAAACGGCGGAAATGTGAAGCGGGAGGCGAAGGTAAGAGGAACGAGCTTATCGAGAGCTTATTTCGCAATGTTGGCGAGCGACGAGAATATTTCCGCTCCAAAAAGAAGCGAAAGGGCCGCGCGACGAAGAGGCGTCTTTCCTGTTCACCTCGGGAATAACCCGTCACATAACTCGGAGCTTCCGTCACAATTTCCGGTTATTTCGCCCGTGTTGCAAGACGAAGAAAGAAGCGCTCATCAGTAGTCAAGCGAGACGATCCTGAGAGAGACGACTCTCTCTTGGGATTTTTCTGCACCTCGCAATGCCGTGCCTCACATCCCAAACGACCAATAGCATCGTAAACACGTTAAACGCGGGGACAGGTGTGAAGACGTCGAGAACGCGTACGTGGACGGGCGTACCGACGAAATTCTTCGTCTGATATTTCATCGTGATTCCCACATTTTTGTACATGTTCAAGACACACATGGAAAAAAGAATAAGTTGAATTAACGCGACATGATATGACTAAGCTGGTTTTGGCGGAGAGAAATAGGATTTCTCTGCTTCTTGTGAACCAAACTCTATTCTTAAGATTTAGACATTCTGCATAAAAAGGACTTGATAATAAGTATTAAAATTTGGTGAATATTTGCCGGTCAAATATTTAATTACTACAATCAATATATAATTTAGTCCCGTGTATTAAATATACAATATACGGAACTACAGTACTGTATATACAATATGTAGTATTAAATTATTTACAATAATGAAATATTCGATCGGCGAATATTTCCCAAATTTTAGTACTTATTACTAAATCCTTTTTTCAATATGCTTCCTTTTACACACTGAAAGATATATACTATATATAAATTACTTCGATATATACTCATATAAATTACTTGTTTCAAATATAGTTGTTTCAAATATACTTCATAAGTTTAAATATCCGCAAATGTATCACAAGTTCGTCATAAATATCAAATTTATTCAAAAATACATTCAAATATATTCTAAATTCTAGCAAGTGTAATACGTCAAACAAGAATATTAAATTTAAACCCCGCGATTATCCTCCGCATTTCTTTCAATCTCTCGCGAGCTTTCGAGGTCCTCATACGTTACCTCGCAATCAGGAATCAGCTAGGAGGTATCGTCCGCATTCACGGCGCGTATCTTCGCTTTCCCTCCCCCCAACCGGGATGAACCACGCGGAGACACGATATCATTGATAACACGCGCTACATCCACCGTGTTCAACGCGTCAATTCGTAATATTTGCGTATGAATGAGCCCGCGGGGCGCCCCGGAGGGGCCCCGCGTAAATCTCGCAGCGGGCCCCCGGCGTCTCCGATATTATCTTCGGAGAGGAGGCCCCCGCAGTCACTTTTAAAGAAGCTGCAGCGAGTCGCGCCCCACGTCGAGCGCCCCTCATCGAAGGCAGCAACGCGGTACCCACATTATCGTCCTTTTTCACCTATCCCTTTCTCTCTCTTTCTTTCCCTGCCATTTCTCCTTTATTTCGCGAATCCTAATATATCCGCGGACACGACATATTTCGTGTCCTTTATCGTCCCGGGCTCGGCCCACGGATATTTATCAGCGGCACGATATCGCATTCGTCCCTCCTCCATCTTCCCCACGGAATTGCACCGTCGAGATTGCCTTTTTGAAATTCCCACGGGGCGCTCCTCCTGGCGCATAATTAATAGATTATGTTTCGTGGCTGGATGGCCTGACGCGCGACCACGACTAATTTCTTATCGCGGTGAGAAGGGCCCCCTCGTTGCGCGCCTCCCTTCTCCTTCGCTCGACTCTGTCTCTCGTATTAATTCTGGATAATAATTTTACGGGAGATCTCGGATTTCGCGAATCGTCCGTTGTTACATCTCTGTTGGATACCGAGAGCGTTATCCGAGGAGACTCGGTCAAATTAATACAGAAGGGGTGACCAGTGCACTATAGTAATAGTTAAATAAAGGACGAGCGCGAGAACATAATTAGTGCAAAGATACGGAGCGGCTCGTTAATTTTGTGTCTACTTTAGACGAGCGTGAACGCGAGCACAGGTTCGATGAACATTCATGGGCGCAACGAGCCGCCCTAATTGCGTCGCCCTAATTGGTTTATTCACGGAACGCGCGAGCGCGTTTCGCGATTTCTGCAAGAGAGTACGTTGCACTTATTTCGAATGCATACCTTGGAGCACTCGTTCCGACAGGATCCAGCAGCCTGCGAACAGCAGGACATCTCTGCAACAGAGAGAAAAAAGTGGATATCAGCTTCGTCATATATATATATACATGGCCATTTTCAATAATTAATAACTTGGAATCTTTCGTGCTTGTTTGCAAAATGGTATAAGACTTTTTTGTTCATATTGACCTAAACTACAAGTACATGACGGACAGGACACTTAGCCACCCTGTATATATAAGTATACATCGAGAGAGCACACGTGGAAACTATAGTCCGGTGGGGACGGACGCGTTCGCCGAGGATCTTTCCTCCGCTTTCCCGCCGACACGAAACAGACGCGTGTCCTGCGTTACGTCAGTATGAGAGGAGTTGGAGTGGTGCTTAACGGAGAGAGAAAGGAAAGGATCCGCTTTCATGGGTCCAGGTGAGGGCACGTACGACTTGTCAAAACTTCGCTGTTCCCTCGGAGGACCTCACATACGGTGTATCCTGCGGCTAAATCCGACACGAAGAAAACAAGAACGAAGAAAAAAGTTAATCGCATCGTTATTGCATTCGACTTCTGCCCATGCAAAAATACCGGACCACCTATCCGACGTATTTCTCGTCTTCGCGATATCAAGTATTCCGCGACATCTCATATTTATCGCCGCGATACTCGATAACTCGATTACCGCTTGAGAGAGACACGTGTCCGCGACTCTCGCGAGTCTCTCCTTTAAATAGTGGTTACGGCTAAACGCGACGGAGCCCAGGGATTTTCTTCTCGGTATCGTGCTCGAGGGGAAGGTCGTATTTTCGCTCTCGGTGCTAAATATTAAGGTTTCCTTTCTGGCTGGCCTGCGGCCAGACGTGCAGTCGAGGAACGTTCCGTGTTCCCTTTCTTCCCAGCGTCTTCAATTATTAAATGACGGAGGGGAATTGTCCGGCGCGTCACTCGGATCGAACAAGCGAATGAGTTATCCTGACAACTGGCCGAGTCCCCTTTCGTACTTGACGACAAGTCACGACACTGTGCGACATATCTCCGAAAGGCACGATCGATTCCCTGAACTTCGCGAAGAACTTGTCGTCGATCGCGTACTCGACTTCAGGCAAATTACTTTTACGACGCTCGTGACGTAATTACTTGCGTCGGGGAACACGGTTGTTCTTACATTTCCATGACGTGAATGGTCGTCAACGAACGTTCTTCCTGGCGCGTTCGACGTGAAAGATCTTTAACGGCTTTACGGGGTTAACATGCGGGTTCGATCCAAGTGACTCGTACGTGTGCGTGTGTGCGTATGTGTGTGAAAGGGATCTCCTGAATGGTGACTGAAATCGTAAAGGCCAGCCACGCCGCCGGGCAGTGCACGTATGTATGCATTGCGTTACAATGAAGTTAATAGATACCAATTAACGGCAAATTGTGCCCTTCCCACCCCGCTCTCTATCTCTCGCTTCGCTTCGACGAATCGTTTGATACCGGTTGCATACGTACGCTCCGCGTACAAGTGTAAGTTTGGTGATTGACGGTGTTCGACAAGCAAAACTCAAATATACGAGCGTCTGTACTTTCTACACGCGCATCGTACAATTTTCTCCGTGTAAATTGCCTCGAAATCTAATTCAATTGTTGCAACGAAGTTAATGGATATAAATTAACGGCAAATCGTGCCCCTCCCTTTCGCCGCTCTCTAACTCTCGCTTCGCTTGGACGAATCGTTTGATACCGGTCGCATACGTACGTTCACGTTCAAGTGCAAGTTCGAAGATTGACGATATTCGACGAATAAAACTTAAATATACGAGTGCTTGTACTTTCTACAGACGCATCGTACAATTTTCTCTGTGTAAATTGCCTCGAAATTTAATTCAATCGAGTGACGTTAATAGTTACAAATTAACGACAAATTGAAATTGACGTGCCGCTTATTCGCCGCTCTCTCACTTTCTCGCCTCGCTTGGAGGAATCGTTTGATTCCGATCGCATGTACAGTCGGTCACAGAGGATGGTAGTTGTAAGTTTTTCCTTTACATACTTCGGAACACAAGATGCGAAAAAAGGAATCTATAAATCATGAACATGCACAGAACACGGAAAACAAATTAGTCTTAAATCAAGAATAGATATTCTCATATATAAGCAAGAAATATCATAATCTTCTTAGGAGACTTTTAGTCTTGATTTGATTGAATTCATATTGATGCAAGTATTATCTAAATTCAATTTAAAACTAAAAATCTTCCAAGAAGATTATAATATTCTTGCTTATATATGAATGCCTATTCTTAATTTAAGACTAATTTTTCTCCATGTAGATAGTCAGATAATAGTCAAAATTACACATACATATCTAATTTCGACAGCTGTCCGACCATCTACCGCGCATGTCCGTGAATCATAAGTTCGCTTCGTCGTGTCTTTTGTATGTTCGGAAGCATGTAAAAAGAAACTGTTGCAACCGTCCTGTGACCGACTATATATATGCTCGTGCATAGGTTCAGTTTTACAGATCGACAATACTCGAGAGATAAAACACAAATGTTCGTACCTTCTACACGCCTTCCACATGTCGTAGGATTCACTCTCTATGTAAATTGCCCCGAAACATTCCCTCGTAAAATTACAGAGTACGACATAGTTTGGAGTTTCACGGCGCTCACAAAGAATCGTAATTACAGCCGTATTGTCGCGGACGGGGAGTATCAGTCGCGTTGAAGATCGTTTGCATTCCTAAGCAAACAGGAGGGTGGCGCGCCTCTCAGTTTTTTCTCTCCGTTCCCGCGAAGCAACGTTCTGCTATTACAGAATATATTACGAATGTTTGGCTAGATATCGGTTTCGGTCACCGACACCTGGCGCTTATCCGTTTGTCACCAAGTTATTCACGTCTGCTCCGAAAATATACATCGACGGCACGATAGCGTCGTCGAAAGCCGCGTGTCATGTTCGCCGTTCGACGTTCACTCTTTTATAGATCATTCGAAATCTAATTTTCATTCGTCACTCTCCGCGACCGCACCATCGAGACGTGCAATTTTCTTCCCTTCTCTTCTTCCCCTTTACCGGATACACGAGACAAATAGTGCGGCTCGTCGCCGCACCGTTGTCCGTCATAAAAAGTCGCGCGGGGTCGTTTAAAAGTTGCGCGTTTAATCGAATTCTCGCCGCAAAGAGCCTTGACGATTCCACGTGAGATTCGCGGCGGCAACGACAAGTGCGTCGCCGCTTAAAATGCGGCGTTTTGTGGCTCCTGTTGCGGACGACACAAAAATAGCCGGCGTCGTTCGCGGCCATCCGGCGTTTACACCGATCTAAACTGCTGAGCCCCCTTCACTTTATCCCACCCGTTGCACTAAGCTACGGAGCCGAAAAGTTCGTGACTTTGACGGGAAACATTGGATCGACGAGTGCGATTCGAGTCGAGTATAATTTTCACACGCATACGCAGCGATGTAATTCTAGAATATACAGGATGAGCCAATAACTATTATCACCTTGAATATGCCTTCTCGAAATAAGAAAAAGAGTAGGAAAACATTTATCTGACATAAAAGTGCATTGATACCAATGGAGTCATCATTTTGAACACCTTCTGTAAATGTAGACTTTTTTCATCCTCATAATAGTCGTTGATAAAACATTTTCATTTTTTACTTTGTACACAGAGAAAAAGATTAATATTTGAGAAAAGCCAAATTATTTTATTTGTTTGCTCCATTCCAAAAAACAAGTTTGTTTTAATCAAAGAAATTATATTAAATCCAAAAGAATCCTCTTCTCTGTGTATAATATAGAATATATAATTCCATATTAGCTTAAAGATATCGTACATCTCGGAATTAATTATGAAGAAAATAACACGGTAGAAGGTCGAAGTGCAAAACAATAAGCCGGAGGAGATGTAATAGCTAATCATAATCCAGTATTGAAGAAACTGGCGGAGATCGCAAGTCGAGAAGTGACGAATTAGTGACTAAAGTGGGCCGTTTAATTTGACTAATTCAAGATTCTGCGCGGGCGAGACCGGTGGCATTTTAAATGCTATTAATGTGCTTGATGAGCTGAGCCTCTACTTCGTCTCGGCAGAGAGTTAGAGAGAGAGAGAGAGAGAGAGAGAGACATTAGCATAACAAAATAGGAAAGGCAACCGCACGGCGAGCCGCGCGACAATGCAGCGCGCAAATCCTTCTGAGAACGGCCGCGTGTTCGCCACGTGAGCGTTCGTTCGGTAGATTACACGTTGCACGATCATAATGCCGTGCCCGGGGGACGTGTTGTAAATTTAATTCGACGTTTTCTCCCGCGAACGTTCCTCTTTTTCCTCTCTTTCTTCTTTCGCGAGCGGAGAGCCACGCGGGTGCGTCGAATGCGTCTAATGTACACTCGGCGCGATGCTTGTGCCGATAATGACAGATTCCATCTGCAGTAAATCGCGCCGCCGCGTCTATATTCATACACTAGGTACACCTGAGGGGGAATTTTGCCAGCAAACTATTCCAGCCGGTCTCTAACGGAAAGTGCTATAACGAAAGAGAGGGAGAGAGAGAGAGAGAGAGAGAGAGAAGATTTTTTCGCGTGTATTAATCGCGCCTGAGTAATAAATTAAGATAGCCGTGCGTGTCGACTACCTTGACCGCACACGGGCTGATTAAAGGCGCATTAATATCAATAACGTATGGTGGCATTATTTTTTCCTCTTTCTCTACTCGACGCTATAAATTGCTGATGTATCGGTGTCATTTATGCCTTCCTGCCCGCTCACATCCTGCCTCCTCGGGCCCAAGCGCGCGCGCTTAGTATGTCGGGCCACGCGTCCTGCGACAATAAGTGCGTCTTCACGCGCGCAATTTACGGCGAATTGGCCGTTCCTCCTCGTCGTCGCGAATTTTTCTCGGAACAAAGCGGCGCGTTTCCTCAAGCGAATTTAAACGAGCCTCCCCCCCCCTCCCCCCGCCCTCTCCTGGTGACGTCGATCGGCGGGAATGTGTCGTGCAACATCGGTTCGTTCGCGCGACTACGCGCACACAATTGCGCGCCGGCCAACACGGTTGCACGCGTAATCGC